GGAATGGTATGTTCCACGAGTTCCCTATCTATTCCAGGAATTTCCTTGTATGACCAAGTGAACACATCTTCGAATTCTTTGAGCGTCTATATGAGAGTCGATCGCGCTTCTAGATTTAAAGTTAAGCCAATTTTGACTTCTTTCTTATTTTCATTTGTTCCTATGTTGATCGTTTCAGTTTCTTCGATCACATGATTCTTTTGTTCTTGTTCATTCATTAATTCAATCAATTTATTAATATTATCATCTTCGTTAGATTGATTATTATAGCATTCAAAAGATTCAAGAGAAGGCATATACTCGGAAATAGAGCTCATCTTATTAAAATCAAAAGCAAGTACATCAAGAGAGGAGTCCTTTTTGGGATTCTCGTCCTTAGAACTAGAAAATAAAGACTCAGTAATGGCCACATGGCCTAAATTCTCAGCTTCCTTAAAATCTAAACTAGAATCATCGTCAGATTCTTCAAACATTCGTCCTTCGCCTGTGATGACTTCAAGCTTCTCACCTTTGTGGTTCGTCCATTTGAAGGTTTTCCTCCATTTATGCTCAAAGGTATTATTGAAAGGAGTGATCAACGAAGTAGGATCAAAAGCTTCATCTTGGATGACATTTTGGTTGGTTATGATAGAAACATGGTTTTGCTCTAGTCCAAATATCAAGTTAAAGGCTTGCCTATCATAGGACCCTGGAGTTGTGCGTTTTAATTGAATGACACCTAAGTCATCATTCAAGAAGTAACAATCGTGAAAAATCTCGAATCCAGGCTTCTTGATATCTTCAAGAACTAGTGGTTCTGGAAAGTCATAACATGGGTAATTCTGTCCCTCCCTAATGAATTGTCCATTAAGGGTTTGATTGGAAGATGTGAGTAAAGAAATTATCCCTTTCTTATTATTGCTCCTACGTGCCCTTAATTTGGCATCATGAGTTTCAAGTTCTTCCTTGGTTGGCTTATATCCCAATCCAAAGGAGAAGCTTTTGTTTGGGATAGGAAATAATATAGATTTCTTCATTCCTATTCCCAAAGGCATCCCAGGAAAGTAACTACTCTTGAATAAGATGTTGTTTACTATTGGGGTGGAATATGGATCAATTTTGAAAGGTACTTCAAGACTTTCATCCATTTCTAGCGTGCAGATAGCCTCTGCGGCAAATCCCCACATATCTTTTTCATCATTGTCATGATTTATCTCTAGAAGAGATTGATCGTTTATTGCGACTTTTAGTGGAGAAGCGTGTATAGTCACCTAATTATCTGATGGAGCGAAGATGGTATTGCTCCAAGTTCATGTATCCAAGGACGTCTAAGAAGAAGGTTGAATGTAGGTTTTATGTCCATGACATTGAATTCAACCATCTTTTTGTATTAGGCCAGTGGTAATTGGTAGCTTAATAGTTCCACACACTGATCTCCTTGAATTGTCATATGCCCTAATGCTTTGTGTTGTTGCATGAAAATCTTTTTCTGGGTTTAGGCCTAGATATTTTGCGGTTCGTAATGGGCACAAATTAACGGTTCGTAATGTTTATTTTAGGGTTTTTCTATGTCCTACCTTTGTGTTTTTCACTTTTCTAGGTTGTACCACCTCTTTTTGAAAATTACACACGGCCCTTGTATTTTATATTTCATATCTGCTATGCCTTCATTGTTAACTTGGCGTTAAAAATTCCGTTAATTTTGTTAATACTAAGAATTTTTTTATGTTGTGCCCCCTTGGTTCTTTATTTTTAAGATGTACTTATCTTTTTATCAATATTAAAATGGAATATGTCATCATTAATGTACATTGATAATGGATGTCGAAGCATCATTAAACGAGTTTCAAAACAAAACAAAAATAAAATAAAAAAATATTGAAACTGAGAAAAGGTACAACTTAGAAAAACACCAAGAACATAATAATAAACCTATGCAGTTTGACCAGTACATTTGCCAACGTATGAGTTTGACTAACAATTAATTTAATTATCAATAAATATAAATTATAAAAGAAAAACTGATATTCAAAAACTATAAATCGAGACGATTCTAACAAGTATCAATATGACTATATTTAACACTAATATTAGTTAAAGACCTTAAAGTGGTGTAGGTAAATAGTGTATAAGTTAAAATAAAGTATTTATTTTGAAAAGGAGAGTAATATTTTTTTATTTCGAGACTCATTTAATAATGCTCTGACATCCATTGTCAATTGGACATTTAATGGTGGAATTTTTCATTTAAAAATGGAAAATTTGTTCAGAAAAACCTTTTAAAGTGAGCACTTTGTTCAGAAAAACCTTTTAAAAATTTTTAAGCTAGGAGAAACCTATTTAAAAATATATTTTGTTCAAGACAACCAAGTGAGACTTTCCGATGTTGACTCACACTTTTCCGGCGTTGACCACCCTTTTCCCTTATGTGTGACTCACGTGACTCTTAAATCTCTAATCACACTCCCATTTTCCTAATTCCACTCCCTTTTCCTTCCAATTACACACTCTCTCTCCTGCTCTCTCTTTCTCTCTCCTTTTCACTCTCTTTCTCTCTCACTCTCCTTCTCACTCTCCTCCCTCTCTCCTTTATGTGAACAAGCCATTGTTGAAGTCCAGTGAATTCGAAGCAATTGAAGGCATTCCCAACTAGTTTCGACCAAAGGTAATTGCTTAATTTGTCCAACTCTCAAGGTTTCGAAAGTTGATAAGAAATTAGGATTTTTCCCCCCCTTTTAAACTTTCTCAGTTATGCAGGAATTATGGTTCGAGGAGGTGATTTGCGGTGTGGGTGTGGCTTTCCTGTTGCGAAGAGGACTTCATGAACCCATGATAATCCTGGGAGGGGATTAATTGCCTCGATGCTTGTTCATAGAGAGGAGAGAGAGAAGGAGAGAGAGAGAGAGAGTGTAGTTGGAGGGAAAAGGGAGTGGAATTAGGAAAAGGGGGTGTGATAAGAGATTTAAGAGTCACGTGAGTCGCACATGAGGGGAAAGGGGTGGTCAACGCCGGAAAAGTGTGAGTCAACATCGGAAAGTCTCACTTGGTTGTCTTGAACAATAAAAAAAATTAAAACAGGTTTCTTCTGGCCAAAAAAATTTTATAAGGTTTTTCTGAACAAATTTTCCCTTTAAAAATAGATAAAAATGATACATAAGATTATAAGAATAAACAAAGAACCATAGGGGGATAACATAAAAAAATTCTTATTACTAACAAAGTTAATGGAATTCCCAACAACAAGTTAATGGTGAGGGCATAATGGATAAGAAATAAGGGTACGTTTCATGAAGAGATGATACAACGTAAAAAAAAAGTGAAAAACACAAAAATACAACGTAGAAAAACCCTTTAGTTTAAGATACTATTACTACTTTTAGTCATCTTATCTAAAGCGGACGTACATTAATTTTTGCCAAATGAAAAAGGACAAATAAAAAAGAATGATGGAGTAAGGGAACGAGTTAAGCATGTCTGAAACGAAAACGAAGATTAAAAAAAAAAAAAAAACTAAAAACCGCAAGCTTTATTATTGGAGGGGTGTTAAATACCGCCATCCAAAATAATCAAAACCGCCAACATTTAATGTAAATGGACAATCATGCCCTTAGTACTTCATTACTATCTTCCTTCTTACCACCAATCACTAACACCTTGACACCACCACCCTAATTGATGACTAACACCACCACCACACTGACCGGCGACGACCACCACCACCCTGACCGGCGACCCACCACATCCCCCTCAAAGACGACCCACCACCTTCCATCTTTGGCGGGAAGGTGGTGGTTTTTTTTGGCAACCGTACCAACCGGAGCCCAAAACCGATTACCGAGCACGGTAACTGGTTTTGGGCTTCGGTTACCATGGAATCGGTTAAGTTGCATGGTAACCGGAGCCCAAAACCGGTTACCACGCACGGCAACCGGAGCCCAAATCGATTATCGTGCGTGGTAAACGGAGCCCAAAACCAATTACCACGCACGGTAACCGATTTTGGGCTCCGGTTACCGCGGTTGCCTGAAAAAAAACCACCACCTTCCCGCCGGCGAGGAAAGGTGGTGGGTCGCCATAGACGGGGTGTGGTGGGTCATCGGTTAGGGTGGTGGTGGTCATCACCAGTCGGAAGGGGTTGTGGGTCACCAGGAGGATAAGGGATGGTGAAGTAGTAAGGTTACGATTGTCCATTCACACCAAATGTTGGCGGTGTTGATCATTTTTGTTGGCGGTGTTTAGCAATCCACTTATTATTCTCACATTCCCAGAAATAAGAACCAAAATCTTTTCCCAAATAAATCAGTCTTAAAGTTTGGAATTAAGAACTAAATTAATTTCGTAACAGGGTAAAGGATGCATTTAAAGCGCTACAATCTTGTTAAGTTGTTCCCATATAGCAAAAACTGCAACAGATTTAAATTAAAGGTTGGTGGAAGACGATTACACTGTAAATCAGCAAGTCCATCCAAAAAGATTGAAGTCGTTGCGAAATTATCCTAAGATAGTTAACTAAAATTGCAACCTCCCCCAAAATATATAAGCATGAAATACAAATAAATAAGAGTAAATAAGATTAAAGACTAGCACGATAATCAGATTTAAAAGGCTTGAGATCAGGAAAACAGCTCCGGAGAGGTAAATTACACTTACGTGGAGCACACTTCCTACAACGGTCTCGAGCGCATTTCAGGTGCACCTTAACACCAGCAGCCTTACACCGAATCTCCTCTTCATTCCACTCTAAACATAGCGACACCCGATCGCTAAACAATATCCTGCAGTCAGGAACACGAAAACTATGGCGAGTATCCAATAACTCCAAATCTTTGTGGCCATCCAATATAATAGACAATGCATTGATCGATAAAGCACAATAGTCGAGCCTCAATCGCTTGAGTTGAGGACATCTGTCACGTATAATTGTTGCAATATCATCATCCACAGCGCCAAATAACCGCAGAGTTTCGACCTCAGTAAAGTTTCTTCGGAATTGTGCTATTAATACTGAAGGACACTGCACTTTCTTCAGCTTCTTTCAGTATTTCATAGCAGGCAGAATAAAAGTAAAATTCATACGCACTGCCCGGGGTATTATCAACTTCTGCATGGAAGGTGTCCTGCAAAGTACATACAAACATGTAAGTATTGTCTATACAAGATAGCATTTGAGGTAGAGGTAGAGGTAGCAAACAGGTCATTTGGGTCAGGTTTTGTTCTCGAGTCAAGTCAGGTTCTAAACTACACTTGAATTTAACTGATTTGATGTTGCTTTTCTTCCATGTAATTACTAATTTTTACAAAAGCAAAGCTGTAGTAAGCTTATACTACAGCTTGAATTGTTTCTACCGATTAAAGTCCTATCTTTAATAAATATTCCATATTAAACTTCTTAAAATGAAAAGCTCAAATTTACCAAATGAATCAGTTTTAATCAAGCAAAAATTCACAAGAATAATCTCACCTTTGGCAAGTCTTCTCAAAATAATCCCACCTTTTCTATGTATCTTCTCGAAATGGACCCTTTTACTGGGTACTTGGTCAGGCGGTATTAGGTGGACTTTTATTTTGTTTTCCCTCCCTTATCAATTAATTATCCTAACTACCATCCCATTTCTGAAACACCATTACTCGCTCTTTCCCCTTCCCTTAATTAAAGACCAGAAAATTAGGAAAAAAAAAATATCGTTGGGTTTGTGGGGATTACGCATAAAGTACAATGGTGGATGTTAAGCATCAAAATTTAAGGTATTGTTTTATGAATTACTGTTTAAATTTTTCGAAAATGTGTGGCTTGGATATGAAATTGTGTTTTCCCTTTGTTTTTTGTTTTTTTGTTTGTTTGAATAGGTGATTGTCGATACTTGTTTGTTGAATGTTGATAGTTGCTTGTTGCGATTAGTGCTCTACATTTCTACAAAATTGAGCCTTGGTTGTTGCGATTATCATTGTAATGGAGAATGTGACGTTGAAGTTCTAGCATGGTGGTGTATTTAAGGAAGGAAAAAAGGGATTAAGAGAAGAATGGGGAGCACACTTATGGTGGAAGACAGGGGAGAAGATAATTATATAGCATAGCAATTCCAAGTTATATAGAAACCCACAAACTGTGCAATGGTAAGTGCCACATAGGCCAATTCACCTGTTGCAAGTCATAAATGAAAGGGGTCCATTTTGAGAAGATTCATAGAAAAGGTGGGATTATTCCCAGATTTTTTAAAGGTGAGACTATTTTGAGAAGACTTGCAAAAGGTGGGATTATCCTTTAATCAATAAGAATTAGTATAATGAGTTTTGATCAGTAAAATTGGTAACCCCAAGAAGAAAAGCAGTGAAATCAGTCAAAATTATGAGAAGTAAATGGGGCCTAAATTGAATTTTATTGATTAAAAACATATTTTAGCCAATAATTTACAGATTTTTAAATCATGAAGTTTAGCAATTAAAACTTACTTTCACTAATTTAAACAAATTTGATTTGTAAATAAAAGTTTAATGAAAAATTATTGATTTGAATTAACAAGCGAAGTTTAAGGTAAATCAATAATAAAAAAGAGGGAGCAGATCCTACCAATATGAATCCATTTTATTCCATTTATTCAAAGACAAAACTTCAAAAATCATTTAACCAAAATCAAGTAACTGTTCGTACGTTGTTGGGGATAAACAAGGAATGTCCATTTTTTAATAAAACAATATATCTCACAAAATTGACAATAAATACAACAATTACCTTTTAGCAATATACCGATACTTATATTCTTGAAGAAAGGTTTCGCCATGATAAAATGCAGAGCAAGAGTCAACTGGCATAGTATCCAGCCTACGCTTCAAGAAAACAAGATATCTATTGTTCATTCGTTGGAACTTAGGGCAATCCAAGCGTTTGAGATTAATCACACCAGGGGGTGACATTGAATCTAATACTGCCGACAACCATGTCTTGCTCACCAAACACGCTACACAAAGCCTATCCCCCAATGGCACTCTCTTCATTATCTTTAACAATACATCGTAGTTCATTTCATCCCAACTCCACACCGTCGTAGTGCCACTTTCCGCCCTAAATAACTTCAATCGCATCTTTATCACAGCAACATATGATGAAAAAAAAAGACAATCAAAGAAAGTTAAAATAATAGTTATTCAAGATATTTCAAGTGGTCATCGAATAAAACACTGAAACCTTACTCATCCTCCATTATTGATACTCAGGATATTTCAATTGGTCACCAAATAGAACATTAAAATTTAAATCACCCTTCAGGCTTATTTCCTCTCTCCAATCAATATTTCTACTCCCTACGACACTGCCCAAACTAGAGGTGAGTAGAATAGCCATCATATTTCAATGGATCAGATTTAGTTTTGCTTAGTCCTCCTAATAACCAATTAAAATGTAGAGTATTAACAATAAGGTTCTTAAATATTGAAAAATTGCAAAATTCAAATATATGAAGCTAATTTAATAAGATTCATTATGCTAGAAAACTCTAAACTTATACAAGAAACTTCGATTTACAACCAACACATCCAAACCAGGGCTGGGCTAAGGTAGAATAGGTCTAATTACATAGTTCAATCCTAACATTCAGTGGCGGATCCAGGATTTGATTAATAGGTTGTCCCATCATCATCCATCAACCGCATATAATATCAATAAATAGTCAAAACTTGTATCATCGTCCATTAACCTTGTACTATACAAAACCTGAACTCTAAACCATATTCCAGAAAGATCTCAACCAAAATGTTCAACAATCAACACAAACTTGAATACACCTTTTTCGGGGTCTATGTCAATGCAAATCTACTTCCCTTGTACGGTATACATGGTCTCATGACAATTAGTCAATGTTTGTTCAAACAAATCTCGTGCTTTAAAACTCCAAGTTACCAGCAAATATTCTACCTCAAAGGAGCCTTAAGGCAGAAGCATTCATATCTATAAACATCATTTTCTATGGATGGCAAGCATTACCATTTCAACTAAAGTAATTTAAATGAACTCTATAAGACACTCCCATACAGTCACAGGAGAATTGTGCATAAGTCATTGAACAATGCTACCAAGACAATGTTCACCCCTATTGGCCCTATTCAATCATCAACAGTCACCAATCCTTGATCAACTACCCATTATCTATAAAAATAACCCCTTTACACACATCTTATGCTAGGACTGCTCATAATTTAATTAGGAAGCTCAATTCAGCAAAGCTATACTTCATGTCAACTTACAATCAAAACCTCAGAAAAATAATCCAATCTAAGTAATAAAGGATGCTCTAGAAATGAGTCAATGCTAGTGAGTTTCTCAAAAGTAGGAACTCAGCGGGCACTACATTGTTATTAATTTGCCTTTCTTAGTGCCCATGGCCTCACACAAATGCCACTCTATTTCTTAATATCTTCAAATCTCTGGAGCGTTCTTCTCAAATTAAACCAGAAAATAAACATTAAGTTATTTTGTCTCAGGTAATCGTACAGGGCTAAAGTAAACATTGCGCTCCTACATATCCAATCAGAGACTAGAAACTTCTTACCATAAATAAAGCTAGGTTCTGATCAAGCTTCTTCTACAATAAGACTCCAAGCAAAAGCACACCTGCAACTATCTCAATTAAGAGCTACTTAATATTAAGGTCTTAATTGGGTATGTTTCTGGCCCCTGCTTCTACAAAGAAGGCAGTCAGATGAGATATACCAGAACACTAAACTTCTCATAAGTTCATTCGTTTATTTCACTAACATTTTCATTTTACAAGTTCATCCAACATGAGTTACATAACCAGTGAGTGCAAAGGGAAACTCAAGTTATGAGGAAAGGAACAAAAGGAATTCCTAATCAAATCTAAATCATACAAGAAGGTTTCTCTCAAGGTTATTAAAACAAAGGTCCCCAAGTCGAGCAATTCTACCCCGTCTAATATAATCGCAGGTCAATGAGAAAAGGTGAAAAGATTAGGCCATTAAATCTTACTCATCAAACATTTTCCCGATTCCTAGCTTCACTCTGTTAGGCTAGATTAATGGCCACTACATGTGGGTCCGCCTCTGCCTGCACCACCACCGAAACCACCCTCCTTCCAGAGCCACATGAGCGCAATAGACCCCCCGCCCCAGCCCCACCAACGAAACCGCCCAAAACTTGAATTCCCCAACCCAAAACCACCCTAAACTCCCATCCCTTTCCCCACCCGAAACCCCCACCCCTTTCCCTGACCCGAAACCGCCGTAGACTCGAAACCCCTACCCCTGAAACCATTCCCCCACCCCCCGGAATTTGTGAATTTGTGTTTTTCCTATAAAATAAAATAAATAAACTACAATTCACAAATTAGCAACCAAAATTGACTCAATTATCAAACTAGACTCCAAAAATTACGTTAAATTCTTCGACTATCTATAACCAATAGTTCAATTATCCAAATTCGAAGAACCCTAAATTGAGTATATACTGACAATTAAATACACGATTAAAACTAGATTGTCAAAATTAATATTAGATGATTAAAGAAAAATAAGCATCTAACCTTAGAGACTGCTTCAATGGAGGAGAGAAAGCTCAGAAGCCCTTCAATGGAGAATTTCGAGTACGCTTAAATGGAGGAGAGAGAGGGGGAGGAGTACAGCGAGAAATAGATATAAAGGAGTACAGAGAGAGGAAAGAGTACAGCGTGATTCGTGAATTTTTTTTTCATTTTTTATTTTTTAAATAAAATAATAGGTTGTCCTGGGACTAGAGATGGCCAGTGGGTCGGGTTGGAACCAGCCCACCCTAACCCGCACGGCTGGTGGGTCCGACCTGGTTTCAACCCGGTACCAACCCGGCACAGCCCGAACTTAACCCGGGTTGTGTCGTGGGTCCAAAATTTTCGACACAACCCATTTCAACCCACCTCGTTTTAAACCGTTTGATTCGACCCAACTCGCACAACCCGTTTTGACCCATTTAATTCGACACACCTAGCCCGTGAACCCACCTAACCCGACCCACCTCGCACAACTCAGCCCACCTTGCACGCCCAACCCGCACAGCCCACGACTTAGCCCACCCGCACGCACGATCCACCTAGCCCGCATGGCCCACCCACCCAACCCGCACGGCCCGCCTAGCCTAACAGCCATATTCCAAATATTTTTTCAAAACTAACGGCTACTTTTTTTTTTATGAATTTAATGAACAAAGTTAATAGCTACTTTTAATTGTTAGTAACAATTAGTTTTTTTGAGTGTACTGGTTAGTTTTTTTTATTGTATGATCATCCCCTCAATTTTTCCTATAAATACCAATTCCATTTCACTCAAATTTCCACACAACTCAAGCTTTCTTTCTCTCTTACTCAAAAATTCTTAATTGTTCTCAAATTCTCAAGTGTTATTTAGTGTTATATAGAGTTTTATTTTTGTTAAAAAAAATCTCCTTAATATTATTTTAGTATTCTTAAAATTCTAAAAAAAAAAAAAGTTCTTCTCCATATTATAATTAGTAATCATAAAAATAAAAAAATAAAAATGGGCTCAAGAGGAGGAATGGGAAGGAGTCAAAGTGGTGGTCGAAGTGGTGGCTAAAGGAGTGGTGGTGCAAATTTTTCGTATGAAATTAATACGGAAAATTTAAACCACTTTGTCAATGAATATGGAGATTATGGTTTAGGAGATGGGCAAAATATTCAAACGTCTCCACCACAACATTTCTCCCACCAATCATCGAGTTCAACTATGCCACCTCCATCGCAACCAACATCACAACCAACATCTCAACCTTCATCTCAACGTAGTTTCTAATTTAATTTTTATTGTTATGAATATTTAAAAAAACTATTATTAATGATTATAAAGTTAGTTTATTTTCCAATTTTCTATGATTTATAATTACCATGAAAAATGCGTTTAAATAATTATAATTAAAATATTTAAAATTTAAAAGCTTAATTTCATGAATAGCGTTTAAAAATTAATTTCAATAATTTGATTTATGAAAGGTGGTGGCGGTGAAAGTAGAGGTCGAGCACAATTTCTTGGGTGTGGAAACATTTTGAACAAGTTGAGGTCACACCCCCGGGATGGCAAGTGGTTCACGTGTACATGCCTAGTTTGCAAGGCGCTAGGTGCAAATTTCAAGTCATATAGTTGGAAAACGGGAGATGGAACCGGAACCTTGAGTCGACATTTGCAAAATAAACACGACTTGTTCGAAAATGGCCCTCGGGGGTGGGTTGCCCGTCCAAACACAATTGGGTGGATACATGAACCATTTACCTGGCGGAGGTACACCTTTTATTTATTATAAGTATAGGAGTGGTTTGATTGAATTATTTCGTACTTTTGATGGTCGTGTTAGTTTTACAAATGATACATGGACTTCTAGTTTTGGCGAACCTTTTCTTTGCATTACTGCTCATTGGGTGGATGATGATTGGTTTATTCAAAAACGTATACTATGTTTTCAAGTTATGGAAGAAAGACATACCGATTTTAACATCAAAGTTCGTATTTTGGATTGTTTAAAAGAATTTCACTTGAATAATAAAGTTTTTTCTTTGTCTCTTGATAATGCAACTGCAAACACAAAGTGTATTGACTATTTGAAAAATGACTCCGAGTTGCATTTGTTGTTGGGTGGTAGTCTCTTGCATGTTAGACGTTGTGCTCATATTTTGAATTTGTCTGTTCAAGAGGGTCTCGGGTGAGTTGCAACCATTGATAAACCCAATTAGAACAGTTATAAAATGGATTAGGATTACTCAGTCAGTTAGAAGAAAATACATAGCTATGTGTAAAGAGAGAGGTCTTAAGAAAAGACAATGGTCTATTGATACCCCTACCTGTTGGAATTCTACTTTCAATGAGACTCGTGTTGATCCTACTGAGTTAATAGCCGAAAGTCATTGGAATAATGCTTCTTTTGTTCATGATGTTTTAAATGCTTTTGATAATGCAACTCATATTTTCTCTTATATATATGAGCCTAGCATTCATTTAGTCATAATTGAGTGTGTTAAAGTTGTTCACACCATCGAAGAGCATATGAAGATTGATGGACTTCGTCACGTTCTTGATAGCATGAAACGTAAGTGGCATACTTATTTTAGTGAATTTCCAATTATTTATGGAATTGCTGCTATTCTTGACCCCGGTGTCAAAGCTGAAGGTTTGGAAAATCTTTAAGAATTTTATTATACAAGTTTAAATATCGATTATGATGTTAGTGAATATATTAACAAATGCAAATCTGTTTTGGGAGACCTTTATGATCATTATGCATCTATTTATGGTTTTGATTTAGCAACACCAACTACTACTAGCACTTCCGATTCTAGATTTGGTTTTCTTGATAAAGTTATGAAAAAAAAAAAAAACACATAGCATCTACATCATTCTCACCATCATCTTCTTCAACACTTGCTATTAATGATTATTTTGTCATATCAACATGAGACCAACAACAACTTTCAAATTATAAAATAGTGGCAAGAACATAAAAAAAGTTTTCCTATATTGGCGAGAAT